TTTCTCTCCGATTTAGCCATTTCTTCGTCATACATAATGCAAATGTGATGTAACACGAACAAACGTCAGTGGGATCAACTTACTGGCCATCGTTGTGGAAAATCTACTTCGATGAAGCGGAAAATATTTACCGACGACTCTGTGCGTCCTGTTGGCACAGAAGCATGACGCGCATCCAATAAGCGTTTCGCGAGGGCGACAATCGGGCAGGGTCAGTTTTCAACTCGGCGCCGCGTGACAGCGCATATCCATTTACTGCTTTCGAGGATTGTTTATAGCGTGCGTGTCATAGGTCGACGGTAGTACACGCTGCGAAGGATCGTGCGTTACCTATCGCTTCGGGGATGCGTAAATCCGAGCTCCGAGAGATATATCGACAAGTTTTTTTTTGTTTTCCTATTCGTCATAATTAAAAACCGCTGGTATGCAAAACTCAACATTTGCAAAATTTAGTCATACAAGAATTTCAACAAAGGTATAAAAACAAACACTTCTTAATTTTATCGATTTCTTTTCAATTTTATTTTTTTTTATTTTTTTGCACCTTTATTTTTATATATTTTATAATTTTATCTTCAAATTAATCTCGCTCTCTTCTCTCTCTCTCTCTCTCTCTGCTTAAGAAATTTATAAATACTATAGCTACATATTTTTAAATCTGAAAATGTATTATTTGAAATTCTTCATTTTGTGTATTTTGCAAAAATAATTTTGCCCGAATGATATATCGATAAGTTTTTTTTCTATTCGTCATAATTAAAAACCGTTGGTATACAAAACTCAACATTTGCAAAATTTAGTCGTACAAGAATTTCAACAAAGGTATAAAAACAAACACCTCTTAATTTTATCGATTTCTTTTCAATTTTATTTTTTTTTTATTTTTTTGCACCTTTATTTTTATATATTTTATAATTTTATCTTCAAATTAATCTCGCTCTCTTCTTTCTCTCTCTCTCTCTCTCTGCTTAAGAAATTTATAAATACTATAGCTACATATTTTTAAATCTGAAAATGTATTATTTGAAATTCTTCATTTTGTGTATTTTGCAAAAATGATTTTGCCCGAATGATCTTTATTCAAAGGAATAGATTTAAATAAATTTTGCAAGTAAATAAGAGATATCCTAAAAGCAACGTTGCTTTCGCTTTAATAACTCATAATTCTAATAAAGAATTTACGTTACATGTATCCGTTAATTATACATTACGTACATTAATTTTTCGCCGATCTTGAATTGACTTTCTAATCGCGCCGCATAAATCGCCGCATAAATCTGCAACATTTATCGGGGTACTGCTCGAAGCATCAGCGAATATCGATGCATGATGCAGCTTGATGCGCGGCTAATATATGCATCGGTACAATTTAATTGCTTTCACCAAGAGATTGTTACTTAGTACGGATAAAGTATCTCAATTCGATAGTGATTAATGATTAATTCTTTCGATCGGTGGCTGTTGCAGAGATTGCGAGACTCGAAATATGACCAAAAAAATGTGTACATATTTTTAAATATAAAATGTATATATAATATATAAATGCATTTTTGGTCACATTTCAAGTCTTCCTTATCTGTACATACATATCACTTATGTCACTTACGTATGTACATGTATATAAAATTATTTGACACGAATCATAGAGATTTAAATATCCCGTTATACGAATTTTCCGACATAATGGTCGGAGAGCTAAATTTGCAAGTGATGATTTATGTCGGGTAGCGCGATACATACCACGTTAACCGGAAAAATTCCAGAGCGTTATGCGTTGCCGTTGGAGAATCAGAAAAAGCGCGATGCTCACGACACGATATCATCCTAATTGCTTCCAGGCTCTTGCGCGCGTAAATTACTTTGATTAATTGAGGCGAACTAGTGCGTGCATTTTTAATTCCACACGCCTCGCCACATAATTCACACGCGAATCGCATCTCCCGCGCCAAGTCCAAGGCGCGAAGTAGAAAGAACCGTGCGAGAGGAAAGGAGCAGTCGGAGATTATTATCGGCGGCCAACTTTTGCGCGCACAACGCAAGCGGCTCGTGCGGCTCGTCGCGGCTCCTCGTCGCTCCGGGTGCTTTGCGGCCACAAGTTTGCCACAATCAAATACAGGCACGAGAGCGAGTCTGGCCGCGAGCTATTATTTCGCCAAGTGCGAGCGCACCGCGACGGTTTGCGAATGCCTCGGAGCGATCGCGAGAAAGATCCCCCGCCCCGTCGTCGCCGCCGCCGATTCCATCGTCGTCGTCGTCGTCGACATCGTAATCGCGTGCTCGCGTTTGCCGCGCAAATATCCGACTACTGCGGATAGTAAGGTAGACCTTTTCCTTTTTATCAGTCGCGTAATGAGCCGGCAGCCAAAACAGAGACTACGCGTTGACGAATTTAATTCGAAAGTCGGTCGATAGATTTGATAAAATATAATACGGTAATTGGAAATGATGCAAACATCGCTCTCTCTTTCCAGATAATTTCAGGGGAATCTCGCTATTTACATTGAAAATGCTAACAACTAATGATATCCAACTGTACACTGAGAAAAATCGTTTGATTGTATCAACAAGACGTATGATTGAAGGCATTTTGGTTCAATCAAACAAGAATTTCTAGTTATCGTGATAAGACTCGATTTTTTATAACTAGAACGTTTCATAGATTTTACTATAAGGATTAATATTTTCTAGTTGCATCTATAAAATTTCTTATTACATTAATTTCTTTGCTTGCCATTCTTAACTTAACTCGTATTCATTATTTGCCATGAAATGTATATAAAGAACTAGTTATTAACATTCCAAAGTATTTTTTGTCTCTTACGAGCAGTAGTGTCAGAAAGAGGACGCTAGCTCTCTGATTGTGTGTGTTTGAGCTGCATCCTCTTCTTGCATCATTGTTTATCGATTTAATTTTCAACAAATTGAATTTAAAATAATTTATTCAATAATCTGGATTGAACTTATCCAATAATCTTGCTGAAATTCAAAATATTAAACAGACTTTTGAGATTAGATGGACAAAATTTTTGACGATTTGGCTAGCGAATTTAGTATGATTAACCAGGAAATTTGATTTTTTTTTAAATTTAACAGGAAGAGATTAATCAGATTCATCTGGTAATTCTTACAAGAATTCTGGTTCGTCCATTTTCCAACGACATGCCGGAATCTACCAGAATTCTAATTAATGCAACTAGATTTTTTCTCAGTGCACTGTTGATTAATTTAATTTCTAACAAACTAAATTTACAATAATTTATTCAATAATCTGGATTGAATTTATCCAATAATCTTGCTGAAATTCAAAATATTAAACAGACTTTTGAGATTAGATGGACAAAATTTTAGACGACTTGGTGCTAGCGAATTTAGTATGATTAACCAGAAAATTTAACAGGAAGAGATTAATCAGATTCATCTGGTAATTCCTACAAGAATTCTAGTTCGTCCATTTTCCAACAGACATGCCGGAATCTACCAGAATTCTAATTAATGCAACTAGATTTTTTCTCAGTGCACTGTTGATTAATTTAATTTCTAACAAACTAAATTTACAATAATTTATTCAATAATCTGGATTGAATTTATCCAATAATCTTGCTGAAATTCAAAATATTAAACAGACTTTTGAGATTAGATGGACAAAATTTTAGACGACTTGGTGCTAGCGAATTTAGTATGATTAACCAGAAAATTTAACAGGAAGAGATTAATCAGATTCATCTGGTAATTCCTACAAGAATTCTAGTTCGTCCATTTTCCAACAGACATGCCGGAATCTACCAGAATTCTAATTAATGCAACTAGATTTTTTCTCAGTGCACTGTTGATCAATTTAATTTCTAACAAACTAAATTTACAATAATTTATTCAATAATCTGGATTGAATTTATCCAATAATCTTGCTGAAATTCAAAATATTAAACAGACTTTTGAGATTAGATGGACAAAATTTTAGACGACTTGGTGCTGGCGAGTTTGGTATGATTAACCAGAAAATTTGATAAATTTAACAGGAAGAGATTAATCAGATTCATCTGGCAATTCCTACAAGAATTCTGGTTCGTGCATTTTCCAACAGACATACCGGAATCCACCAGAATTCTAATTAATGCAACCAGATTGTTTTCTCAGTGTAGGCTAGAGATTCTCACGCTTTGACCGATTAAAAGCGACTAAATAAATTGAACGCGATGGATCGTGTATTATTAGGAGATTGGACAATTCTTGAGATTAATGGGAGCTCCTTCATGCTCTAAGACATAATGCATTCGATATTGGTCGATCGCTGGCGACCGAGGATTTACAGTATCGCTGCATCGATATTATCGGTCGATCGATAAATAGTCGTTTAAATATCGCCGTGTAAAGAGACGAGCGCGAGTTACGGTGCAGCGCTATACACGCTGTCGTGTATCGCGAGCGTGCACACGTACACACGTATACGTACACACATATATAATAGTACGTGGCGGCGAGAAAGGGGGTAAATGAATCGGCGCGCTTTGCGCGCCGAGGCCGGGGGAAAGGCAGGCGTGCACGAAGCTTATCCGCGGAACATGCAATAGCACGCGTATTAAAAGTCGGCTAATTTAAAATCGAGCGAAGATCTGCGCGCGGGCCGCAATCGAGCCGCGAACCGTACTAGAGCTGACTCACGATCCGCCGAGAAATGGCGTAGCCGTCGGGGGATCTCGTCTAGCGGAAGGTCGTTGCCTCCCGCGCGCGCAAAAACGTTGCGAACCGCCTATAGGTCATTCTACGCGATCGCCAATTCGCGAGAGAACTCGTCACGGAATTGTATTATTACTCCGCGAGAGAATCGTTTTATTCCGATTACGAGCTTGAAACACACATTTTTTTTTTACATCGAGTGAGGGGATATTTTGTAGAGAAAAATTATCCGAAACTTTTTCACGCGAAATCATAGCAGAGATATTACACATGTTATCACATAATTTCACACACAATCTGACACATGTTTGTAAATTTGCTTACAGAACCGGTAGGAGATTTCACGGAGCTATGAGGAAGCAATGTTACTATTCGCCGTTACAAGTCACGCATCGCATCTATACCCGCGTAATGGCGAGACGCAGGCGAGTACGCTCGTATTGTCGAACGCGAGTCGATCGTTTGGCGTCACGTCTTCATCCGCCACGATCGATCTCGAAGGCTCATAACGGTTGAGCTTGATTAACCCTTGCACGCCTTGGAGAGTATCGCGAATAATTCTTGGCGTTTCGCGCGCACGCGCGCGCATTGACGGCCCGAGGAGCCCCGGTGCGAGAGCGCTTGCAAATGACTGAATCCCTATAAATCAGGGCTATAAATCGATAGCTCAACTTGGCGGAGCCCATTAAGCGAGCTCCGTAATAAAGCTGTATCGGTAACGTTATTGGTGTCCTCTTAATAACAACTTTGCGATCGCGACCGAATAACAGAGAGCAGCGTGAATTATGGCGTAAACTCCACCCCTTTATCTCACCCCAGCTTCTACTTTGTTACATCCAGCAGGTACGAGGTGTGTCGCATGGATCTGGTAATTTCTTTGTTTGTCTCGTCAATCTGAGTATAGCTTTTTTTTTAATTGAAAACGCCAGGATGCTTGCAAGAATTAAATCTCACAATTGGAAATGGACGATTTGAAAAATGCGAGGTTTCCTTTTTCGAAAATTTCGTCGGTTACGAAATTGAACGTGGAAAAACTGACCGAAAGGTAAACGCGTAATGAGATTTTGGTTAAGTGCACAATCGACGCTAAATTAATAACGAATCAAATATGCGAGATTCTGTCTCTAAATCGGAGACATTTTAACCGCGGGGTCACCAACCCACCTTTAGTAATCGCGAGCGATGAAGGGACGGCGAGATCTTTTTTCATTTTTCTGGAAATCGAGCGGCGGGCATGAATTATTACCGAGATCACGAATCCGCTTTCCACCCCACTTCGTTTCAGCAGTAGAAATACGAGGGTTCTATGAACCAAGCTTGTTAAAACTTCAGGCTATCCGGCTTGCACGGCGTGCAAAGCTTTGACGTTTTTCAAAAATTACATTTCGAGATACTACATTTTTTTTTTACATTCCGCCTTTTACGTCTCATTTTCTAATGTTTGCTATTAAAAATCCGCTGACCGAGATTGGTTTCGCGAGAGTGAAAACTGTCACGTCACTAGACACGTCACATTTTTCTGTAAATGAAGACAAATTTGAAATAGCATTTAATCGATTAAGTATGTCGTGATTTTTTTCTCTCAGCTATTTACATGTCGTAACATTTTTGTTCTAAACTAAGGAAAAAAATGACGTTCAATTTTATAAATAATAAACGAAGATATAGGAATAACACGTAGAAATTCTAGCTATGCTTTTTTGCATAGATGTTTAACACATCTACTTGATTATTTCCATTTCGATAATTCTCTCCTAAAACTGATACTATTAAACGAAATATATATTTTTTTCTCGCTATTTTTTTAGCAGAATAAAATATAATTTTATGTTTAATAAAGATTTATAACTAAATTATTACGTGGCAATATACTAACTGTTAGATTAAGCTTCTGAAATGACCCGAGAATAATCTGTTTATAAACTGGAAAGCAACGCAAAGTAAAGGCTTTTATTATAACAAAATGAAGACAAATTACTATTGCTATTAAATATCTTGTTCAAAACTCGCGTTCGTGTGAGGCTTCTCGAAAATACTACTGGAATGTGCCGGATGCGTCAAAACTGACCCGACCGTCTATTTTTAGCGATTAAATTCGAAACGACGAATTGTCGGGAGGCGCACGGAACCGCGGTAAAAAGGACAAGCAATATCAGATACACGCGGCAGGAATGTTCGTTCTGTACGTGGCTCGCGAAGGATATAATAATAATATCGGCACGAACGCGAACGCGGGTGGGGTATATAGTCGTCACGACGGATCACGTCGAAAGTCGTGATCCTCCGCGGCGTCCAGGGACGGCGAGATCGCGCTTGTGATCAGCTCCTCTCTCGCAGAAGGCAACTCTCCCGCAGAAGAGGATCCGCTTCTCTCTCTCTCTCTCACTCTGTCTCTCTTTCTCTCTTTCTGTCTTGCCCGGCTCAACCTCCGCACAAAGTTCTGGTGCGTGCAATGCGAAACGTGACAGAACCCACCCGCCCTTCGTCCGCCCTCCTAACAATACCTTCGTCTCTTCTGCCGCCGCTTCTTCTTTCCCGTCTACCTCTTTACCCCGCGCGGCTCCACCTCTTGCTCTTCCTCCCCCTTTTCTTCCTTTTCCCTTCCCCGCTTCCTCCTCCTTCCTTTCTTCTTCTCTCTTAATCTCATCCTCCTCCCACCTTTACTCTCCGTTCGTTGCTTACCGCTCTCGATCCGACCTCACCTCACCCGCGATCTTTACTCCCCGTGAAATGATCCCCGAAGACATTTCAGTGGCGACTCGCGGCACCAAGGATAACCGGAATCCGTTAACGCGACGTCCAATTCTCTACTCTCCGCGGTTGTATCGTGACGGAGTTATAAATCGGCGCCGAATGGCCGCGTAAAAGCAGACGCCGACGATATTAAACGCCGCGGAGACTGACTGACAGGATTCGAGAAGGGATACTATCGAATATCGCCTTACTGACCTCTTGTTCCTCTTTTCAATTTTTATCTCCGTCTTGCTCCTCTTTCTAGTCCAATATCTGTCACTGGTCGATTACATGATAATTTATATCGAGTCGTAATACGCGAGCGTAAACAATGCTATAAAGTCTCGTTGCAAATCCTGCGCATCATCTCGGAGAAAGATAGGTCTTAATAATTTCTCAACAATTATTAAAAAAGCGGACAAATTAATTTAAAACGATATGAAATGCACTGAGAAAAAATTTGGTTGCATTAATTAGAATTCTGGTAGATTCAATCAGTATGTCTGTTGGAAAATGGACGAATTAGAATTCTGGTAGGCATTGCCAGATGAATCTGATTCATTTCTTCCTGTTAAATTTACCAAATTTTCCGATTAATAATATTAAACTCACCAGCACCAAGTCGTCTAAAATTTTGTCCATCTAATCTCAAAAATCTGTTTAATATTTTGAATTCCAACAAGATTATCGGATAAATTCAATCCAGATTATTGAATAAATTATTTTAAATTCACTTTGTTAGAAATTAAACTGATAAACAATGCACTGAGAAAAAATCTGGTTGCATTAATTAGAATTCTGGTAGATTCAACCAGTATGTCTGTTGCAAAAAAAGACGAACTAGAATTCTTGTAGGAATTACCAGATGAATCTGATTCATTTCTTCCTGTTAAATTTACCAAATTTTCCGATTAATAATATTAAACTCACCAGCACCAAGTCGTCTAAAATTTTGTCCATCTAATCTCAAAAGTCTGTTTAATATTTTGAATTCCAACAAGATTATCGGATAAGTTCAATCCAGATTATTGAATAAATTATTTTAAATTCACTTTGTTAGAAATTAAACTGATAAACAATGCACTGAGAAAAAATCTGGTTGCATTAATTAGAATTCTGGTAGATTCAACCAGTATGTCTGTTGCAAAAAAAGACGAACTAGAATTCTTGTAGGAATTACCAGATGAATCTGATTCATTTCTTCCTGTTAAATTTACCAAATTTTCCGATTAATAATATTAAACTCGCCAACACCAAGTCGTCTAAAATTTTGTCCATCTAATCTCAAAAGTCTGTTTAATATTTTAAATTCTAACAAGATTATTGGATAAATTCTATGCAGATTATTGAGTAAATTATTTTAAATTCAGTTTCTTAGACATTAAACTGATAAACAGTGCACTGAAAAAAAATCTAGTTGCATTAATTAGAATTCTGGTAGATTCAACCAGTATGTCTGTTGCAAAAAAGACGAACTGGAATTCTTGTAGAAATTACCAGATGAATCTGATTAATTTCTTCCTGTTAAATTTACCAAATTTTCTGGTTAATACTATTAAACTCGCCAGCACCAAGTCGTCTAAAATTTTGTCCATCTAATCTCAAAAGTCTGTTTAATATTTTGAATTCCAACAAGATTATCGGATAAGTTCAATCCAGATTATTGAATAAATTATTTTAAATTCACTTTGTTAGAAATTAAACTGATAAACAATGCACTGAGAAAAAATCTGGTTGCATTAATTAGAATTCTGGTAGATTCAACCAGTATGTCTGTTGCAAAAAAAGACGAACTAGAATTCTTGTAGGAATTACCAGATGAATCTGATTCATTTCTTCCTGTTAAATTTACCAAATTTTCCGATTAATAATATTAAACTCACCAGCACCAAGTCGTCTAAAATTTTGTCCATCTAATCTCAAAAGTCTGTTTAATATTTTGAATTCCAACAAGATTATCGGATAAGTTCAATCCAGATTATTGAATAAATTATTTTAAATTCACTTTGTTAGAAATTAAACTGATAAACAATGCACTGAGAAAAAATCTGGTTGCATTAATTAGAATTCTGGTAGATTCAACCAGTATGTCTGTTGCAAAAAAAGACGAACTAGAATTCTTGTAGGAATTACCAGATGAATCTGATTCATTTCTTCCTGTTAAATTTACCAAATTTTCCGATTAATAATATTAAACTCACCAGCACCAAGTCGTCTAAAATTTTGTCCATCTAATCTCAAAAGTCTGTTTAATATTTTGAATTCCAACAAGATTATCGGATAAGTTCAATCCAGATTATTGAATAAATTATTTTAAATTCACTTTGTTAGAAATTAAACTGATAAACAATGCACTGAGAAAAAATCTGGTTGCATTAATTAGAATTCTGGTAGATTCAACCAGTATGTCTGTTGCAAAAAAAGACGAACTAGAATTCTTGTAGGAATTACCAGATGAATCTGATTCATTTCTTCCTGTTAAATTTACCAAATTTTCCGATTAATAATATTAAACTCACCAGCACCAAGTCGTCTAAAATTTTGTCCATCTAATCTCAAAAGTCTGTTTAATATTTTGAATTCCAACAAGATTATCGGATAAGTTCAATCCAGATTATTGAATAAATTATTTTAAATTCACTTTGTTAGAAATTAAACTGATAAACAATGCACTGAGAAAAAATCTGGTTGC